TAAGCCCGCTCGATGTCTGCGGCTTAATCCGTACCAATCTCGTTTTCGAAACGTGACAACACAGAGCCACAAAATGAGGCATTTGAAGCCTTTTGGGCTAATTTCGAGCGTCACTAAAGAGCCAGCCCCCAACGGGAGAGCGCGACCACAAAGGCAGCCAAATTTAAATAGAATTTACAGTGGCCAAAATGCCGAATAAACGTGACAAATGCCACAAGCCCAAGTCGAAAGGGGAGACTGGTATGTAAGTAATTTCGGTGTGCGAATTTTAATTGCAATCCGGGAGAAGCCTGGTACAAGTAAGGAAATAAAAGTAAAAAGAGTAAGCGCTGCTTAAGAATTCTTTAAATATTATAAACAACCAAGAAACATTTTTTAGGCCATGAAAAACCAGTAACCAATACATAAAATATATTAAAATGACAAGAAAACAATGTAATATAAAAGTTCAAAATTAATTAAATAGCATATTAAAGCTGTGATAAAAATCCTAAGAAAAGTTATCACGCTTTAAACATACTTATAGTTATGAAATTACTTTTAAAACCAAAAAGGAAAATAGAAAATATTTGTGTTCAAAGAATTTTCTCAGGAATCAAGATGGAAACAGAGATAAAGAAGCGATATCTAGACCGAAATGGAAACGAAACAAAACCAGATTAAACGGACAAGTGCAAGTCAAGTCTGTCAATTGTCATTACAAACAAATCCAAGCGCTGGCATTTAGAGTCTTTTACTTTCTGATGGCCATTCTGGGATTCTCTTTTTATTGTTCCTATTATGATTGCCATTACCATTATGATTTCTGTGTTAAGCCGGGCATCGCCACATGCCAATCTGTACTTAGAACGTGAGCTGATGATGATGCGGCGACAGCAATGATGATGATTGTGCTGCTGGAGCTTGAGTCGGAGATGGAGCTGCAGATGGAGATGCTGCTGCTCAGACAGTTGACCATTTGTCGCACTATTGAGCACACAAAACAGCGGCGGGCCACAAGAACTTCTTGACAAAAACAACTTTCACCGAGCTTAGAATGCTACAGCACTGACATCTTTCAGTTGTCGCAAAAATTGCTTTCTTTAGAAAGAGCAATTCCAAATGAGGCCTATGTACCTGCCCGGCGATGTAAGCCAGATAAAACAAAAAACCGAAACTACTTGAAGCCGCGGAATTCCCAGTAAAGATCAATCAAGGGGCGACATAAATCATTCCCTACCCTAGGCCCCCAAATACTTTATTAAAACCTCAGCCTAATTAGTCAATTAGAAAAGGGCCCGGCCCCTAAAGAGTCAGAGGAATTGCATCATTTATCTGGATGAAATTTCTCTTTTTGGGGTCACACGCGCTTTTGGCCACCGGTACCCCAAGGCAGCAGCACCGTCAGCATTCCTCGGAATACATTCGATACTTCTCCCTGGACATTCGGCGAATTTGCAGCTCCCAAGTGCAGGTCTCGAGAAAATACATTCCATAAAGGGCCGGCCCGCTGCTCCAGAGGCCCGGCGGACACGAACAAATTACGGTAATCGGCTTTAATTAACGCTGCGTTTTATCTGGCCAAAAAGGTTTTTCGGTTTTTCGTTTTTTTTTTTTTTTTTTGGGCTTATATGCTTGGGGTCTCGGATACGAATTTGGATTCGAATTCGTTTTAGCTTTTCATTTTAGGCCTCCGGGGGGCGTTGAACTTGCTGGGGCAAAAGGCGTTGGCCATTCGCAGCATTCGCAGCAATCTTAATAAATAAATTCTCACACTGAAACCAATTTATGTTTTTGGCCTAGTGATTGCGATCTTCAATCAGAGATAGCCCTTTGTTTGCACCAAAAGTTCTCATTCCCAATTGTTTCTATTGGAAGTAAAGAAAATAGTTCGATGAACACACACGTATGGCAAAACGATTTCATGCTTTAAATATTTGGCTCGCCGGACAATTGTTAATCAAGAAAAAATGGTAACAGTCCGCATGATGTTTGCCTAACCCAACACAAAGCATCTTTGAACCGAGCCGCCAAAAGAACTTGAACGCGTTTTGTGTTTTCTTTTGGCGCGAATGGCTCTGCTAAGAATTGGAAACGTGTCTCGGCAGTCACACAAAAAGCCAAGAAAAAATATTAGAAAATTGCAGGAAATAAACACTTTAGATGGATCTCTTTGGTTGCCTTTGTTTGTGCCAGAAAAATAAAAAAATAACAATTTTGGCAAGCCGCCAGTTTTAAGTGAGCCATAAATGTTTACGACTTGTGCTGAACAAGTGGCCGAATTTTTTGGAGATTGCAATCTCCACCCTATTCCGAAGCTCATAAAAAACTACAGCACACGGCCTGGCCACCTCGAGACCCGCAAATTGAATTCGTTTATGCCCTAATCCTCCAGGTACACGCCACGGCACTCCCACGGCCCGTGAATAAATGGGAAATGTCGACCTGATTAGCTGTCGAATGGGCATAAATCGGGTTTCTATATGTTCTATATTTAACGACTAGAACTAGGCCTCTCGGGTCAACTTAGATTGGTGGGCTGGCCAACAGAATTTCGCATTAAATAAAGTAATAAATATTTTAATACGATCACTAGCTAATAGCAAGCCCGAGGCCCGAATTGGGTCCAGCAGCTCTGGGCCTCGGACACTTTGCATTTCGACAAACAAAGCTGAAATAAAATTTTCTCAGCTCATATTTCACCCGGTCCCGGCATAATATTACGCCCAATTTGGCTCTCTACTTGTACTTGCATCGTTTCGTTTGGGCCTTCGTTGCCTTTCCGGCTCGGGAGCCCCTTGTTAACAACCGTTCAGTTACAATGGGATAACGTTAGGTCTTGTTCTCGTTCTCTTTTGGGTTCTGACCTACGTCAGAGGGGTAGAGTTAACTTTGGGAAGAGCAGTGGCGGATATATACAGAGTTAAAGAAGCCATATATATAGGAACAATTCTCGATATAATGATAGTTTTTACTTTAAAAGGTTTATTTTTGCAGGATCTTTTAAGCTAAAAAGTTTCTGATTAAATTAGTAAGCTATCTTTATTCTCCACTTTTTTTTTTAAATTCCTATAGAGCATTCCCGCTTCGCCTAAAAAAATTAACCAAAAATTGCCAGCAGGCTTTGTTTGTTTTTGGCACATTTTCGTTACTGAATGAAACGGCGACGACCGCAGTGGCTGCAGCAGATGCAGCAGCAACTTAATCAGCAGGCAGCGAAAAAAAAACGCTAGCGGATGCTGTTAGAATTTTCACAGGCCAAGAAGGAAAGGCCAACGGAGGCGGCCCAATAACCATAAAAATCTCATGGCTGCGGGCAGTGAGAGAATGATTTTGCCGGAGCATAAAATAAAAACCGAAATCGTCGAGAAACTCAAAATGAGATGTAATTAAAATCCGGTGTTTGTGGTATAAATAATAACGAAAGACTTAAGCGACGAACTGGCTTAAGAGATTGATGAAGCCTCTGCAGCTGCTTTCTGTGTTATTTGCTGACAAAATTGCACGTTTTCATTTTCAACCGAAATAAACAAAACCGAAAATGAAAGCAGAAGAATATCATCTAGGAAATGCACCTGCTCACAGTAACACCAAGAGGTAACAGCTACAGATTCGGATACGGGGAAGAAATCAGCGCTTAAATCTTTTGGCAAATCAAGGTGAATCATCATTAAGCAGCTGTCATTGTCACACGGCTTCGGTGAAATGCAAATTGCCTTTCTAAGCTAAACATTTTCGGGCATATTCTCCCCAGCGCGCTCGCTTTGTGTAAACATTTCCGGCGACATTTGATTGCCGCTTTGCCAGAGTTACAATTTGCGCTTCCTTGCGCGACATTTCATTTAGCAATTGTCGCTTTGTCGTCTGTCTGTCTCTGGCCTTTGGTTTCGCTGATATCTGGCTTTCTCCAGATCGTGATGATCGCCGTCGTCGTCGACAGCCAGGTCTCATCAGTATGCAGAAGATCGTGCTGCTGGGCCCGCTCAGCTTCATTGAAAGCGAAAGGTCTGCCTGCCGTCATCCAATCCGATCAGATCCAAAACGATTCGAAATTGATTCATTTTTCGGTGGCCTTTTGTGTCGATTGTTCTGTGATCGGTTGTGTTTACACTGGCCCGAGATGCGATCCCATAGATCGTTCAATTTATGGGCTTAGCATGTTAATGACTTAATAGAAATGTTATCAAACTATTTGTTTATTTACCATGTAACTTTCTTTGGCAGCCACCGAGAAGAGAGGCCTGTGATCAATTGATTGCCGTTTTTTTTTTTTACATTTTTTATTTCTGTGTTCTGCGGCGCCGCCTTTCTCCCAGTTGACTTCGTTTTGGGCTCCTAATTCGTTTAAACTGCGCTGCTGGGCTGGACAGCTTTTATGGAGCATAAAATGCACGACACTGCCACTGCAACTGACCACAAGAGCAGCTACTAGCGGCGATCGGCGAGTATCTCAGGCAGCAGAGAAGTAATATCATAATTTTCATGTACCAATAACTCGGCTAAGTGCGATCTCATGGGCAAAATTGATTTTCCCCTCGGTTATAGTTCTTACTAGCCGCAACTCCAATCCGCTGATGGACTGATTTCAATTTAATTAATGACATCGAACGTCGTGTGTACCCATTTTTGAACCCTCTCGGTTCTCTGGGGGATTTAGTAATCGAAATTATGAATGGAGACGGGACGGGACTCAATGAATCACTGCACCGCCGCACATGTGCCCCAGCCTCCAAAGAGCGACCCCAAAGAGAGTCGGGAAGAGCGTGGCCACGAGTGAAATGCAAACAAAGTCCCAGCCAAAGCCAAAGCCAAACACAAACACAAAGGCAAACTCAAAGACAAACGCAAACACAAGCACTCGAGCTGCTTTTCCCTCGTTCACGAGAAACTCACTCGAAAGTCGAGTTTTGGTTCGAGCCATTTGCTTTTGCCACTCATTTCTTTGGCTTTCTTTGCGCGGCTTGCTTTGTGGCTTTCTTCTGAGCCCGCTGCTCGGAAGCGGCTCACAACGCTGGCCATTGTCAAGGCGAACGCACGCGAGCAGCGCAGCAACAGCAACATCAGCGGCAGAGGAAAACTCGAGCTCAAGCTCCTCCGAGAGTAACTTATATAACGACTGATTAGCCCGACGTTTACTTTAGTTATTCGGTCAACTCTCGACGGTCAAGTTCGCAGCGATCGCGACTCGACTGGCCCACAAAAAAAAAAGTACATCATCAAAACTCAAATCAAACCTAAAACGCGCTACCAGGAAGTTCAGTTCTAAACGCGATTTTGAAAAGGAATAACACCATATAGCCCCAGTCAAGTGCCTTCGTCAATGTGCAATGTGTGTGATCGGCAAACAGTGATCATTTACATACCTGAATAAAACTCATCTCGAAAGTGAAGCGTGACTCAGCTGCGATCGGCAAAACAATACGAAAGGAAAGGATACTTTTCGGTCACTTTTCCAGAATTCACGACGACAACAAGAACGTTGAATCACAGTTACGGTTGCACGTTAGCCCCGCCAAGTGAGTGTTTATTAACTTTTACCACACATATAGTACCATAAACGATATATTATGGTGTATAAGTGCAAGGTGCCATGACAAGCCAGAAATCCAAAACAGTGATCTGCAAGAATTTTCTGTGGCTGGAAACAACCTTGAGTCTATTGATTATATATTTTCTGTGGGTCCTTCATAGAGTTTGGAATAAATATTTCCAGATTAAACTAACATTTACCAAGTGAAACATTAGCTTCCTTTATTGAATTTGTTCTTAAAATAATTAAAGCCTGCACAATAGTAAAATGTTAAATAAATAACGATTTTTGCCTAATTTATGCACTAGTCTTGTTCATAAACTTCTGTTTAGGATGGAATTGACTTATAAAACGGTATTTGGCAAGGATGGTCTATAAAAGTTTAACTGTAGCCAATATAAAAACATTAAAATATGTCTAAAGAAAAATTATAACTTTCTATACGATTGATTAATTTTAATATACTTAATGTATTTGTAATATTTTTAGATGAAAAGTATTTTAAAGAACCAATTTTAATTTATATTCTTTTGTAACAATTTATTTAAAATTGTAAATAACACTACATTATATTGGGAATATATTAAAAAGGACTAAAATAATGAACGCTGCATTTATCTATTCTTCAGTTAACCCTATTTTAATTTTTAATTAAATATGCAAATAAGAAATTAGCCAATTTTATATACTGGCATAATTTTTGTCCCTCCACTTTCGAGATCCTTAAGCTAATATAAATAGTTTAAACCCTTTTTTAATTATCCCCTGATTTTGCATTGCTGCAATGTATTTAGATTGTATTTTTAATTGTTATGGCAACCTTTACATTTGCATTAATTACCAACAGATTCATTAGGTTTGCCTGTCTGGAGCTGTCTTCTATAGATCATCTAGGGACTCCATAATTAAAAGCGAACCCAAGTCGGGCAATTAAAATAATTAAGCCCCAGATGTGGTGTGAAATCCACAATGCAACGTGTCAGAACCCGCATCCCAGGGGGAAGATAATAGAACAGGGCTGCGACTCTGATTGTCGGTGGTTATACATTGTGCTGGTGATGATGATCTGGAGAGTCGCAGACAAAGCCAGGGCTAAAGCCAAAGACCCGGGACCACCGGCTGAAATGATGCATTGAATGTCAGCTACCGTCTTGGCCAGGGCTAGCTGGGGATACGGATTCCTGCCTTGGACATGGCCGTGGAGTTGGTATTTAAATTTGCCCGCAATAATTGCCCTGGCCATGACTGGGCTGGGTCCATGGAGCTGGTATCCAGGTAGCCATGTAGTAGCTAGGGAGTTGGCATCATCGTCATGATGACATGACAGTTACAACACAGCCTTCTTCTCTGTTTTGTGCCTGCCTGGCAGCTATTCATTTACGCAGCCTGCCAGTCGCCGTTGATTAGACGAAGCGTGCGCTTTAATTGCCGCCAAATGGGCAAAAAAAGAGCATCTCCAACACGCTCAGCCTTCGGCTTCGCAATTTGTCATGTGCATTTAATATTTGCCTGGGTCCTCCGTCTCCGTCTTGGACTGGAACTTGGAGCCGGGCCGGCTTCCGTGGCTTGGAAAACAATTTGCGTTTGTTTGTCCAGCTTGTTTGTTGCAGTTAGCGTTGATTAGCCTCTGCTGGCGTTGAAGAAGCCCCTTTTGCCAGCAGTTCTCCCATTGCAATTACGCTCCAAAACAACATCAAATGCCAACAGCTGTGCCTTAGAGCCAGTCCAGCCACGACCACACCCCACATTCGGTGTCAGCGAAGCAATTTCAAATGTCTGGAAAATGGAAAATGGCCGGGAAATTTGATGGGTACAGGGACCGGGATCCAGGGACCCACCGCGTCTGGGCGTTCATTCTGCTGTGAAATTGATAGATTTAATTTGACATTTGGCGCAAGACAAGTGCAAGTCCGTGGCGGTTTTCTTTGCATTTGATTTCTAGCCGGGCTTATGCTTATGCTTTTTTCCCTGGCATTTGTAATTTACTTTTGCGGCTGACAATGGTCATCAATGGCGGCTCTAATCAAGTTGTCGTCGAAGAAATCGCGAAATGGATTCTAAGTAGCCAGCCAGATGCGGAGAGAGAGAAAGATCATTCGATCGTATTTGCAGTGATTGTCAGGCAGAAACCGCTTCCGTTTCAGTTTATCAAGGAAAATTGATTGATGGACGGACGACCGACCGCTGATGCTGCTGCTGCCGCCAAGAATTGTCAATTGCCCAGGCAATCTGGCTATCTCGGCATCGGTTTGAGCCACGCCAACCCTGCGGGCCATCAAGTTCTCCAGCGAGAGAGCCCCATTTGGGTTAACAGTTTTGCGGCTTTTGCTGATGTTGCCTTTTTCGGTGTGCCAAATTTCCATTTTTGTTTATTTGGCGATTGTCAACTTTTGGGTCAGTTGATACAACGGTCGGTGTTTGGCCGGGCAATTAGCAGAGTTTTATCCAACAATGGTCCGGGCAAGGGAAGTAACATAACTGTTTGGCCAGATTTCTGTTTTAAATTATTTTGCATTTTGCGTTTTCCCTACGCTTAGTGGCACCTTTTCGGTTGATCTTAAATGTGGCTTTATGATAATTTATGCCCAAGCTAGAAGAAATTGGGTTGAGAAATTATCGAAGGAAATTGGCCAATGATATCATCTTAAGCCAACTTTCTACACATCGGATTTCCCCCCCTAGAAACCGAGATTATCTATTGGCGCATAGTTTAGTACAGTTTATCCCACGTTTTTGTTGCAGTAGTTGGTTGCGTTCATTCAAAATCGTTTTAATCATGTGAATTACACACATTAAGTATACGCCCTGTTTGACGGCTGCCTTCGATCGCTCGGAGATGGCTGCCATATCTCCGGTGGCTAATAATACAGCAACAGCCAGCAGAGAGCCAGTCTATCACGAGGAGATCTCCGATCCGAGCCTGTTTCCCACTTGATTGGCTTCGGATCGCTTTCGTTGCCAAATGTCTGGGGCTGACACGCAGCTTGGCTAATTCGTTCAGAAGTGCTGCTCGAAATAATTTGCGATTGTGTGAAAGTATTTTGTTGCGGTAATATTTTAATTGAAATTTAATTGAAAATAAAAAGTTTTCGCCTGCTGCATGCATCGGCAGCTGGGGGCTAAGATATCTGAGCCAAGTTCAAGACACAGACATCGGACAGTGACAATTGAGAGTTTCACTTTTCGGAGTCGAAATATCAATGAACTCCTAGCCGACCCAAAGACAATCGCAGGAGGTGCCACAACCATCGCCTGCTGCACGCCGCCTTCTGCCCAAGGCAATCCCAAAACCAAAAACGAAAAACCGAAAATGGCTGAAGAAAAATGAATCCGAGGAGAGGATGAAATGACACCGAACTTTTTGGCAAACGATTCCAGGCGGCAGAAGCAGCCAAGCAGCCGAAAATAATCGCCGAAGAATTTGACTTTCGCTTGTTTGGCTTCCTTGGCCATAAATAAAAACGTCTGATCTCCTCCTGCGCCGCTCCAAGGCCTTGCCTTGTGATTGTCGCCGATTAAATGCGCGAAAAACGATGCCGCTGCCGAGGAAAATGCTTTGGGTGCAACTCAGGAAAACCCAACTGGCACGACCAAATGGCAATGCCAATGCCAATCGCCATCACCATCCCCATACCCAGTGCCTCCTCTGCCGGGCGTTTGTATTTGCTTAAACTTTGACATTTGCCAGCTGGCTCGCCGATGGATATGTGGATGCAATGCTCATACATATTTGTCTGTCTGCCGCAATGATAATGCCAATGCCAATGCCGATGCACAAAAAAGAAAAGCGCCAATTGGCTGGGAAGAAAAGTAAAAGCCAGCCCCAGGACCCCAAGCCTTGTCATGAGAATGAGACATAAAAATGCCATGAAAAAATAACAACGAAAAGAATATAAAAGTTAACACCATGTATATGGGTTATAGTCCATAAAGTTGAGAAGCATGTTCCATCACATGAAACCAGTAAAGTTTGGTAATAAATCAAAGAGATTACTTAAATTTTGATTTGTTTTCTCAATTGTTTTTATTTACTGAAGTAACTACAAAGAGGTAGTCCCAATTTGTGTAATCCTAATTTGATTTAGAATTTAATTAACACACTTGTTTCTTCGGTACATAGAAATTTGAAATGTTACATTTAAGGCAAATACTCGCAACTAATTGGACTCTAGTCCGGTCCGGAAATTGATGAACTCACAGGCTCCGGGATGTTATCTATTCCATCCCCAATGCTACAGTACTGAACGATTCGGGGCGCAGATCTCTTGGATGTGGCCGCTGTTATTTGATTAACCGTCCACTTGGCCAACTTTATGACAGCCACGTGGGCTGCAAATTGTAGAATCACTGCCCCAAAGCCCTTGTAAAGGCCACAGGCTCCCTCGGTCATAATAGTGGTGCGATAGCAGTCAGTGAAGCCCTGATAGTTCGTCAGAATGGGTACCACGGCACATCCCGTGTCAAGGTTGTCGATTATCGTCCGTGTGCCTTGCAACTGCAGGCGATGGAGTATGGTCTCGAAGGGAAAGAAGATAACCTCGGTGGTCAGTGTGGCAATCAGGCTGGCATATATCTCCGCATTCTGGTGCTCCAGGGCATTGTTCCCCGTCTTACGCCCAGGTTTATCCAAAGCGAGAGTCATGCGGCGTCGCATAATGCGCGAGGAGACGCCGTGTATCACCAGGTTGAACAGATACTTTGTGATGCCAAAGGATACGCTCGGTCCAATCAAAGCCCAAGCGGGAAGCATGCGTCCGCCTTTGTGGGAACTCCAGTGGAACAGCCGGAGGCTTCCCTCGCGAAACACATCGAAGAGTCCCGACTTCTCGCTGGCTATGCCGCTCTGCACGGTCTCAACTAGGAGAGCAGCATGAAAAGGAGCCACCAAGGCAATGCTCATGCATTTGAGGGCCACATGTTGGCCAAAACGCTTCCAGGGCGTCCGGCTGTCCATTTCCTTGGAACCAGTGCTAAACTTTGAGATCACATCATCTATGGCCAAGGTCATGCCGTGCACCAGAAGGCAGCTTCCCACTCCTTTCCACAGAGTGCCCATTCCCTGCCTCCTGTGCAGGTGAACTATGCTGGGCAGGAGTCCCAGGGGATGCAAGTGATAGCTCTTTGAGGCATTGTAGACCTGGCACTGTCGCCGCAACACAATAAACGGATGACTCAACAGGTGCTCGGTGATCAGGGAGACCCAATGAACGCCCACGACTAGATATTTGCGAAGCACTGGGTCATCCTCCTGTTGATCCATGTAATTGTCCAAGACCTTGTGCTTCTCCAGGGGCAGCGATAAGGCATCTTCTAAGGTCAGGTATTGGATTTTTGTAGTGGCATCTTGGTCAGCATTCAGATTATCCACAATGGACTTTTCGCGGTAGCTGAGGCTGCTCTCCTGCGGCGTCTTGGTACTACAGACATTGTCCAGACCCTCTTCATCATATTCACCAAGCTTTGCTCTGAACTTTAAATTGGAATAGTTATGGAGACCCGACATTATATAGGGTATACGTGTTCTTGCTGTAGTTGGTTTGTAGTCTATATATTCCTATTATGCCTGTAGAGTGCGGCTGTAAAGCATTTTCCGGTTGTTGTGTTGAAGTTAAATTCCAAAAGTACTATGACAGTTGACGCAGTTATTTTCTTCACTAACAGATTAACCTTTTTGATGCTCTTTAAGAACATCTTTAGGCAGCCAAGGTCACCTCAAGCCCAGTGGCGCCTCTTTAGAGCTAACCTCTGACTCATGCCCAAGGTTTCCCTTCTAAAGCGTAGAGTTTCTCCCGTTCGAGAAGTAAGTTTCGCTTTCAAGACCCAAACAAATTTAATGACAATAATCCAATAAACGTTAAAAGCGCCAGCCAGCAACGGAATCGTGACAAAAAATCTTCGCTGGGTGCACAAAAGAAAGCGCCGCAGACCTCAGACCTAAGACCCCTTGGTTCCTTGGAAGACAGCCAGTGGATGTGGATGCGAATGCCATTGAATGCTGTTAACATTTTGACATTGCCTGCGTTTCAGTTTGGAAATGTATATACATATATACTGAAGAAGAGACTAAACATAAATTGAGAGAAAAAATTACATTAATAGGTTGGATTTAGAGGCTTAGTTGGTCTTCATTTCTGTGAGATTCTCGCGGGGGAGCTGCATTGGAGCAACGTGCCTGGCATTTTTGGGGATTTCTATTGTGTGCCGACCATGCATGGCACTTGGCCGCCTTTTATGAGACAGCAGGCCACGAGCCGTGCTTTTAACTTGAGTTTTTTTTTTGTGGCCTTTCTACACCCATTCAATGGCATTTTTATTATTACTTTGTGGGTCTTTTTTTCGGCTGACCTCAATAGAAAGTGTTACAGTTCAATGTTTGCCGGGGCTTCCGCCTTCTTTACAACCAGGTTTGGTGTTCTTCTTCGTTTTGCTGTTCCTTTTGTGCTTTAATTTTTGGTTATTTTTATTTCCCCCTCAGGGCGGAAATCTCTTGTTGTCTTAAACTGCTGACGTCAGCGGCTTGATACATATCGAAAGTAAGAGTCGAGATCTTGCACAGAAATCCTCAAGTTGATTAGAATGCCCGGCACTCCATCATCAAGACAATTTGCATTTTAAAACTGCCAAAAGAAAGTGGCCAAAACGAAAAGAAACGATTCGGAAAAACGATTCCGAGGAGAGCATCGTACCATCGTACCATCGTACCATCGGAGCACTCGGCGCGTGCATTGCATAGTTAATTGTGCAAATGCTGGCCAGTTGATAGCTGGCAGAATCAAGCGAGGAGAAACTCCCGCTGCAAATGTGCTAAAAGTTTTCAGCTAGTTGAGTTATTTGGCTTTTGGCCATATTTAATTTCGTTATTTATAAGCAAATTTTGCACTGCATCAACTGCCCCTCTGACACGGCGGCCGCCTCCAACGCCAGAAACAAAAACCGCGATCCTCGACTAGGTCAACTTTCGCTAGCATGGAATGCGAAATGCAGCAGCAGAGGCAGCAGCAACAGCAGCAGCAACATCAGCAGCAGCAACGACAACAACTGCCACAACAGCGACACTGTCAGCCAATAATAAAGCAAGAAGCCAAGGCAGAAGAAGCCGAAACCCGCGGGCTCGCGGGGCCAAAGAAGTGCTCTGAGTGACTGAAAATGCTGAGACTTTGACTTCAACTCCCGGCTGCTAGCTGCTGGCTGCTGGCTAATAATACTTACCAAGATCTCAGTGGCTTGGTTTGCCTGGCTTGGCTTCTTTTTTGCTTGGTTTTTTTCTCTTGCTGGAGCTGGCTCCTCGGCTTCCTTCTTCTCCTCTTAAATAGTTGCAAATAAATTGTGTGGGTAGCGGTGGAAACTGGCAACAGCAAGTAAATTACTTCAATGTCACCTGCTGACGATTCAAACTCCAGATAACAGAGCTCCACGTCAAGACGGATACACCATCCATCTGTATCTTCAGTCGTGGAGCGATCTTCCTAAGTTTTCTCTTATAATGAAATTATCGCCGCATCTCATTGTTTGTTGTTTGCCTTCCATTGCCGGTGTCTCTATGTTGCCGGTGCTGGTAAAAATTATTTATTTAGTTCTCGTTTTCACATTAAACGTTGTCACACTAAACTCAATTGCCAAGGCAGATGCAGATGAAGATGCTGATGCCGATGCCGATGCTAGTGCCGATGCAGCTGCCCAGATGTATATCTCGGGGTTGATAACACGCCAGAAGCAGCCGTACTTTAAGTGGGTTTGTGGCTCAGGCCCGAACCATTGTTGTTTGCTTGCCAGGAAAATATTTAACTAATTTGCATTTGTTTGCCTTACAGATCCAACACACACGGACCGGCACTAGACCCGATCCCAGAGGATTGTCGCTCGATTACACCGAAGTGGAAGAGCACGAGAGCAAACAGTTAAGGTATGTGCCAAATCAAATATGGGAAGAGGTTATGTCAAGTTCACGGGGTCATGGCACAGAATCGACAGAAAACGTAACAAAGGAATGAGAATTCTAGTAAATTCAACAAAATTTGAATACGTGAGAAATTTTTAGAACAGAATCTAAAGGTTTCTAGGGAATGCCTTGGAAAAAGGCACCCCCTACAAAGGTGTAACATTGACTAAGTTGATTAAGAGGAAACAAGGTGTGAAAATAATTAATATTAATTATGAAAGAGGGAAAAATTTTCATCTTATAAAATCCAGAGTTATTCTTAAGACAAAGTTCTATAACAAAATAATAAAAAACACCTCTATATGCCTAAGGCAAATTCTCTAGATTTTATGGCTTAGATCACAACCTGTTGCCTAACAGGAAATTGCATTTCGAAAAGCCTCTGTAAAAAATGCCAGAATATTTAGTAACCAAGTAAAAAACACCAGCGGAAGCCAAGTGTTACTTTTACAACAGGAAATATTTAAATATTCATTAAAATGAAGTGAAAACGATGAAACAGAACCATAAAAACCTCACTATAGAGTAGAAAAAAACCTGCCAACGAGGAACTGCATAAAAAAATCTAAATTTTCTGGTGATCTTAGACGGTCATAAAATAAGAGAGGTTGTAATAAAATAGTTAGACTACAAAAAAAATCCCAGAAAAGGGAGCCCAGGCTGTGATAGATCAAGATTTTCTAGCAATTAGTGGCTAGGTTCTCAAAACTTTAAGCCGCATAATGTTTTACAGCGAAGACAAAGTCAACAAAGAGAAATTCGTTTAGGCTGAATTCGTACAGGAAGTGAGCAGCAGAGATGCTGCCTTGTTGCTGCTGCTGCAATGTTGCAGTTGCAGTTGCAGTCGCTGCATTCCAGTGCATATCATCGACCCAGTTTCGGGGGCCCCCGCTAACTAGGCTGATGTTTGGCTAAATAGCAAATAATTTGGCGTGGGCTGAGCCGAAGATGCGGTGCGGTGTGTGTGTATCTTTCACCTGACTGACGTGCAGACACTGCATAAATTAGCTGTCTATATAAAGCATTAAGATCTGGTATAAGAATCAGGCAAGGCATAATTGTGCAATGAATATTGTTAGCCAAGAACAGAGGGAGCACAGCACAGAGAACCCACTCGACTGCCTGGCAGTTGCATGTGGCCCGAGAGCCGTTGGCCTGTTCCACTTTTCCAAGGCATCGGCAGCGGTTAGCTTTTCTCGGTGGCAGCATTTTCGCGTTGCCTATCGGCAGATACAATTGCAAGGCGGCTTAAACTGCACGCAGAGGACGGAGGCCAGTGTCTTTAATATTTATTGCGTTTTAAAGACGCATTCAGCATGGAAGCCGCATCGCCACATTGCCAACTTTGCCAACTTTGCCACAAATGGCAACTTTGGCCGGCCATAAATCCAGCGAGTTCAAATTATATAATGTGACTTGTTCTATATATAAACGCGGCTCTATATATATTGGCCAATTGGGCTAGTGACTCTCTTTTTGGTGGTTATTTATGGGTCCATAGTCTCCATTGCCGCCGGTTTCCTTTCCTTCTTGTGGCAAAGACTACAAGGATTTCTCTTCCTCTGGCAAATGGCAGCGGCAAACACCTGAACCGGAAGTCCAACTGATGCTGAGATATTGATTCTGATTGCCTGCCGGCTGCGAGGCATCAGCGGCCATCGAATGTGTGTAATGATGGTTAATAAATCAAACAGAGAGAATTACCAGGAATTTTCCAGCAGACAGTGTCGGCAGCGTTTGTCTGCCAGATTCCTGAGCCGAGCTGAGCTTCAGTCTTTGACTTTTTGCTGCCTTCCTGTGTCTTGGCCAATTCCAGTGGATGCCAACAAATTAGCGCAGCGTCGGCAAGCGAAATCATAAGGCAGGTAGCCCCGACCAGTCATTCAGTCAGTCAGTCTATCAATCAGTCAATCCATCTGGCAAACAAACAAATCCCATTCCCATTCCCCTTCCCCTTCCAAACTCGAAACTAAAATTGTTGTGCTTCTGTTTGCTTAGGCCAGTGTTTGAGCAACAACAAACTTGTTTGTTTCTTCGATGTTTGTTTGTTTGTTGTCTTAGCTGCCGTAAGCCGCTTTTAACCCCTTGAGTGCCACATATTTAAGTGCCTGCCATTCATCCTTTGGTCCGCCTGTAGCCGTACCTGTTGTGCACACACACACACACACGGCTTGTTGACAAATGACCGAATGGAAAGGTATTTTAATCTTGACAAAAGGAATGGAACACTATGCTCAAGAAATATGATTGCCAGTTGGGGAGAGCTAAGTATATATGGCTTTATAAGTTTAGTATTTGGCACAAAGTGTCAAGGATGTGGCTCTTAAGATAAAGCCAAAAGTTGCAATGTTTAATTAATGTGTAATAACTAAAAACGTTTCATAAAGAAGTCATTGAAATGAAACACCTTTCATAATATTTATCGAGAAACACTTAACCGCCTTCGGTGGCTCATCAATTGTGTTATCCTTAATGGGTTAATTGAATTTGTCGCCGTGCATTTAAATTGCACATTCTGTGTGTGTGCATCTTTCGGGCCGAAATGCCGCCGAGCTGCTCCCAAATGGGTTAATGGCACATTCTAGACTCCACAGATACGGATAGCCGGGGCGCGAGATCTTGGCCAAGAAGCTATCCGGGCATAGATATTTAGATGGCAGCCGTTTTCCAGCAGCCTGCCAGACTGGCAAGCTGGCAGACTGGCAACAATGTGAACGCAAATTGGCTTAAATGCAAAAAGCGTCGACAATTAGCCGCGCAGTCGGTGGCTCACTGCCTCTGTAGTGGGTGGTGGTGGGTTGGTGGTGCTAGTGGTGCTAGTGGTGCTGCTGGCATATACAGTTTACAGTTAGTTTGCGCGCCATGTTGACAGTTACGTGCGCCGACAGCTTCCACCTGCCACCAGCAGCAGCAGCAGCAGCAGCGAACAAATGTTGCATAAATTAGCCAGCAAAACTGGAGCGGCCAATTCACATGACGATGAGGAGGATGATGATGATGTTGCCACCATTCACAGCCTTTTGTACTTGCGTAATGCATTTTCACGCAATTTATAACCGTTTTTCCGCGAACTAGGTCAGCAACAGGTGGCTTTGGGCCTCACAATGCGCGCCTCGAAAATTCCTTCCATTTTCCATTCGCAATTTGCATTTGATTGAGTCGTAAATCTGCAACGCACACATGACCAGGTGGGTGGTGTTCTTCGGGGGATTCGGAACAGTTAGCTGGGCATAAATCATGCGACTGTGGGAGGCGAGGCCACCAAGAAGACAGAAGACCGAAGACCGCCGACCGCCGACCTGATTTCCAGGTCCAGTTTTCTGTTTTCCAGCTTTACGATGATGATGATGCGACTTTGGCGTGCGCTTTTCAATTTGTTTAGATTTTTTTACGGCCTGTTTTTCCTAGTGCGGCGGCAGCCGTTTCCTTTTTCGGGCCTTAGCTTTTTGGCTTTGTCGGGATTTATGTTTGGCTGTCAGTGGTTTTCGACCCGCTTGGCTCTTTATGAATCTTTACTTTTACTCGCCTCCAAGAAAGAATTTCCCGAGGAGAAAAGTTTAGAAGAGACACGTGCCGGCAAACCATTAGATTTTGAAAAAGCTACGCTTTTTGTGCCTTTTTGTTGTTTCTTGTTCTTTTTTTTTATATTTTCGCCTAGCAGTTTCCATTTAATTTACGTCTGGCCTGGCTTTCTTTCACTTCTGTGCTTCTTTGAGCCAGTTTGCTAGAATTTCTAATAGCCGGCCGCCAGAGCAACTAGCATTCATTATTGTTTGCTTTTAAATGCTTTTTTATTGACTCGAATTAGCGAGTGAGCGAGCGAGCGGCGTTCAAGTAGAATTTGATGCCATCGGACAATGGAGCGGCCACAAGTAGACCCAATGCCAGGAAAGTAGCCACCGGCTCTGCTCCGATTCGGAATTTGAAGTCAAAGAATGGAATGGCCCGAATGTGGGCTGCTAGAAAGCGAAATGTCCCCATCCGCACGTCCCAAAGAACTCTCTACTATGCCGTCCCTTCGCTTGGATTCTCCAGCTCTCCATTCTCCGATTCTCCAGTTCTTGGGGCCATAAAGTTCTGTTTGTCACGTAGCTGAAATAAAATGTGTGCGTTTTTATGAGGCGATTAGTGGGGCCCGCTATATGGGGCCTACAGCATATCAACGGCAGACAAAAAGTGAAAAGAATGTCAAGTGTTAATTGCCTGGCTTATGACCATATAGTGTCTTGGCAGCCTGTCAGTGTCGCCTGCTCTCTGACGAAGATTAAGTTGTAGCTGGAGACGTTTGTCTTGGCTTTATGGCTTTCTTTGGGGTTAACCATTAATATGAAGCATAAACGAACTCGAACTTTATGTCTAAATTGGGTTTGTAGTATATGTAGCAGTTTTAATCAAAGCTCACTAATCAAAATCTGCATTCTCTGCTTGGCATCAGAATGTTACCCGTAGATTTGCTACGTTTTTTCCCCAATGTCAGCCGTCGCTCTTCGGGGCCTTATCAAGTGCATTTATCGAAAGACTTTGGCAGCGAACTTGCTCTTGCCGCTTGAACATTTTTGTGATAGTTGTGCGAGCATTCTGAATGACATTATCTATAAACTAAACAACGCAATTTGCATTGCTAAATGGCTGGCTATACTGCCTTAGTATAGGATATACTATATCCCGGGATACAGAGAAACACGCCCCGCATGGGGCAGCATAACTGAAATTCCTTTGCATGTCATGAGCATTTGTGCGGGACTCCGTTACTCTGAATGTTAGATGTTAGATGGAGTTCGCTTTGCTTTTCTTGTTGTGACTGTTGCAGCCGCGGCCATGTATTTATGCGCTCTAAACATTGTTAGTTATGCAACAGCGGCAACCAGTCCTCCACTTATGCAGCATGACAACAGCCACAAAGAAGACAGCCACGACAACATCAGCAGCAGCAGCAGCAGCAACAACAACGACAATCATTGGCG